TTAATCCTCTCAAATGTAATCAAACTGGTAACATACAAGTAACGACTACGTAGAACAGCTGATAACAGAATGGTGAGTGAGACAGTAAGCATATCAGGAGCCGAGTCAAAAACAACAGTAGACTCAACCATATTCAATGACGGTGCTCAACGAAAGAGGAGACGAAAAACGATCATAACGGCTAGTCTCCTCGTGTTGGCTATTATCGCTTTATTAGCTATTATTTTGCCGATTGCTATTACTGTCGGACGAAAAAGTTCTGTATCAATCATTAGTGGCAATTCCATCGTTGATGCTCATTCTGTTACAGTAAATGTCAGCGAAAATGGTAGTGTGATAGGTATGTAAGTTAAACCTTTAATCAGCAGTTTCATATACATTCCTTCGTGGGTTTTCAAACTAAGAAAACAACTTAAGTATTCGAAAAATATAAGAACTACGTCAGACTCTCTTTACTCATCTTACAAAGATAAGCATATGATCAGTTAACGTACATTATCGTCTTCAAGAATACGCATTACGTTTGACAATGTTAAGAATTTCCGATGGCTTTTGAGAAAGTCCGGTGTTGAAAATGTTCACGAATTCACGAGTTCTCTTCAAAAGAATTGATGATGTGTTGTTGCAGGAGATAAATGAATCAATGAATCATAACAAGTTTCATTATATAGGATACTCCATACCGAATAAATGTGCTAAGTGCATTAATATGCGTGCTAATATCTAACATCCTATTTGGTCAGACTAAGAGATCTGAAAGACGATGTTACACATGAGAGTTCAATCATATGAGTCACACACAACGACAAATATAACAAAAACGGATTAATAGCATATCCAAATCATAATCATATATCCATCTTCCAAATTTGGCTTAAAACGAATGATATGTAATGAACTCTTTTGAAGGTCTTTTGAGAAGTCGAACTGAATAATTTAATATGCAGTTCAAGAGGAAATGCCCGTAAGTTTCGTAAAAATGTCTCAGTTTATACAGAACAGTTCGCTAAACGTCTGCGCAATAAATTTTACCCCGAAAAATATACAAATTTGTCGCAAATTTCAGTTACTTTTGTCCACGATAAGTCAATTATAACACGTACTTAACTTACACATTTTGTATTCATAATTTCATATTTTGTTTTAGATTGGCGTATAGACGATTCTGAATTCAAAAAATCAAGAAATGATAATCGTACATTTCGTGGTATCCAGCTATCGAACGGTCTTACAGCTCTTTTAATCAGTGATCAAACGACTCCAAAAGCCGCTGCTGCTCTCTCAGTGCACGTTGGCTCATGGCAAGATCCTTTAGAAGCACAAGGCTTAGCTCATTTTCTCGAGCATATGCTATTTATGGGTAATTTTAATTAATCTCATATCATCCGCTCATTTCTCAAATGCTCATTCTTAGGTACAACCAAGTATCCAGATGTAAATGAATATTCTGATTACATTCGTCAACATGGGGGTGTCTACAATGCGTTCACTGCTGATGAACAAACGGTCTACTTTTTCGATGTGAATAAAAACGCCCTTTCATCCACATTAGGTAATTCGTCATCTTGCTCACACCAGAGTATATCACAGAACATGTTTTAGATCGTTTTTCGCAGTTTTTTGTGTCGCCATTATTAACTCAGAAATGGTATGAGAAAGAGATGGAAGCGGTGAACAGTGAATATTTAAACAATTTCGCCAGAGACGATGTCAAATTCTCCCGGATTCTGCAAAACTCGTCTAATCCAAAGTTTCCATTTTCGCAACTGAATGTTGGCACACTGGAAACACTGGGAAAGAATAATACTGGCGCTTTTTTGCATGCGTTTTATGAAAAGTATTATATTGCGCGAAAAATGAAACTGGTCCTGATCGGTAAATATACGTTTGTTCACGACTCTGTCTTATGATGAATCTCATGCATAGGTACTGAGAGTGTGGATCAACTAGAAGAGCTGGTCATCAATTTATTTTCACGAATTCGCAATGTACCTCAAACTGATTCGAATGAATTCAGTTTTAACGGTGAAACGCCGTTCCCCGAGACGCCGACGAACACTTACAAACCACGGCGAATTCTTATCAAACCCACGAAAGAGCTTCATCTAATGACTATCTACTGGTTTTTACCGTCCTCCTTTAGCGAATACGAAAGTGAACCACTCGAATTCGTTGATTATTTACTTAGCTACGACTGTGATGGGTGTCTTGTGCGGGTGTTGCGAGAACGAGGATGGGCAAATGCAGTCAAAATCGAGCGAACTCAACCACAACACGTTTTCAGTCTGTTCTCCATTGAAATGCAACTGAATGTCAATAGTAAGTCATAATCATGCTCACCGAGGATCCAGATGATAAAATGCTTCTCTTGTTTAGGCTTGAGCGAAGTTGATGAAATTGCGGATGCCATCTACACCTATATCGATCTCCTCAAACAGAATCGATCAAAATGGCGAGAATTCTGGTTGATGATGCAGCAGACGTCGTTATTAACCTTCATGTTCAAAGAAAAGACAAAGTCGATCAACGAGGCAGCCGGCTTAGTATTCGCTCTTCAACAGAAACCAATGAGTCACATTCTGAAAAATCCTGAACAATACGTGTATGATGAAGCAAAATTTTGGACATTTTTGAACGCATGTTCGCCAGACAATATGCAAATGCATATAGTAAGCACTACGCTAGGAAATCCAAGCACACAATGGCATGTGGAACAGTGGTTCGGTGGGAGATTCATTAATGAACCTATTTCACTATCAATAATTCAACAGTGGCAGTCGAGGAAATTTGATCCGAGTAATAATACATATCGACTCAGTTTTCCAGATCTAAACCCGTATCTAAGTAAGTGCATGATGTGTAATCTTGCCTTCAGATGTCAATTGTAAATCTGTTACCACGACTAAAAACATTGTGATATACACTATTATTGGAGCTGATATGTAACATCTCGCATAATTGTTTCTTGCATGTTAGGTCAGGTGTTGGAAGCTGTGTGATTTCAAACAGTTATTACTAAGGAGGAAAACTTCCTGGCCTTCCAGTCTTCACATACTTTCGAAGAGAGAAAATGTGTCAGACATCACTGTGTGCTGTCAGAAGAGCGTGTTTTTCAGCGTTTTCTTTGCTCATCGAGATTCGTTGGTAATGAAAGAGTGAGTCGTTCTTTACAAATATTAGAAACAAGAAATGCCTTTACCTCAAGGGGGAAAAGGCGACTTTTCTTTCTTAGCATCGGAGAGTATCGCGTAGCATCGCTCAGCATCGGAGTCAGCATCGCATAACACCGGAGAGCATCCGATGCCAAGCATCTCAAGCTCCGAAAAGCATTATGGGCTCCGGAAAGCTCCCGGAGCCGCCTTTTTCCCCTGGCTTTAACTGCTACAGTAGAGGTATGCGCTAGAATCAGTATTATACTGAAAAACTGATACTGGCGAATATTGAAAATACTGATACTGGTGCAAAATGCCATAGCAGTAACAGAAATACGCCCCAATACGCTTATTCCTTCTTAATATCGTTTGAACGTTTTCTGTGTTTTCAGAGGACGTGAAGGAAATCATTAATACAAATACGATCGAATCAACGTCAAATTTTACAGATTATCCAGTTCCTATTCATAACGATCAAGGCCTCATTGTTTGGCAACAATACGATACCGACTTCTTGTTACCAAAAACGGTGTTATTCATACGCTTTCTATCAAACTTGGTCGTCGATAATCTGGAATTTGAGGCATTTATAGCTGTTTATTCGTCACTATTGGTTGAATCGATGAGAACAGAAAAACATTATGCTGAGCTATTAAGCAGTACGTTTGTCATTTACTCAAACTATAACGGAATGACACTGGGTACGTAAACTGATGTTGTCTAGAACTCCATCAACTGTTGCTAACATTTTAGCGACCAGCAGCTGGACGGCGATGTGTGAACGGATGTTGAAAACGTTCATTATTCATTTTCTCTCCACGCCAAACATCAACGACCAAAAATTTTTGTCTATACGACGAATAATCGTTGATAGATTATCCAACTTTAACCAGTCGAGTTACATGGATCAAGCGTTCGTCTACGTTAACAAGTGGACGACAAAGAAATCCTACTCAGTGTCAGAGACAAAACAAGCGATAGAAATGATGACATGGAATCGGACTCTAGATTTACGCAAAATATTTATTGATTCTATCCTGCAAATTAGAGTATTCGGACATGGCAGCATCAACCATGTCATTTTAACAGGTAAGATCTTTGATCTCGACTCACATATATAACTACCAAAACTTGAGCACTATAGATTATGCTAAAACACTGGTAGTTAAAGCGATATATGAACATGGATATCATCCGATATTGTCGTCAACTGTCACAATTCAGCAACCCAAACAGCTGCAGATACCAGCAGTAGGTAACTACGTGTACCGGAACACAATTGTCGATGCTGCCAACTCTCTCGTTGTTCAACTGTTTCCTGTTTGTTCCTACCAAAATATCACTTGCTGCATTCAACTCGACTTGCTCGTCTCATCGCTGTCGAGCGAACTATTCAATGAACTTCGAACCATTGAACAATTGGGATATATGGTTGGCGCCGGTGTCAGAATATCGGACAATATGATATTTAAATCTATCGTTACCTATCTCCAATCGAACAAACTGAATGCGGCTCAGGCTGATGAACGAATCGAACTATTCCTAAAGACATTTTACACAAAATTTATCTTGCAGAAAAGTGCAGAAAATTTTCAACAAGAAAAGGAAACGTTGATTATGCTCAAAAGAGCACCATATTTGACGTTGGCGGCTCATGCGACAGGTATGTTCCATTCTATTCAATGACTTATTACCGATAGTGGTATATATTATTTTAGCTCAGTGGCAGCAGATTAATTCAGAAAACCTGGATTTTAACCGAATTGAGAATGAAGTAGCAGCGATTGAAAACTTGACCATCGATAGTTTTCAACAATTTTACCTCCAATTCATATTATCTACAACCGCGTTGGATGGCATTACTCGATCAAAATTGTCGATTCAATTGTTTCCACAAAATTATTCACTAGCAAATCTACCCGATTCAACGGGTGATGCGAGACCAACTGTCGTGCTGATGGATGATGATGTACAAGCACAGAAACAAAACTGGACAGAGTGGAATGTACAATAGAGAAGTGCATCACATGTTAAATTAGTTTTTTTAATCGAAAATATGTTTTGGTCATTTTGCCAATAGAGAACCCCTGGACTACTACTTTATGCTGAGCAATGTGTTTCACAATCTATTAGTGTAGATACAGAATACTCGTAACGTTGGACTGATCTTTCCTAGTCGTGCAGTTATCGTTCTGTAAATTCTCTTATAACTTAATTGAGAATATGTGGATCCATCATTGACTACCGCAGCCGGTTACCATCGCCTTACTAATCCTTGTCACAATATATGTACAGAAAAGGCAGATAGATAGCCAAATGCTTTTGAATCAAAGAATAAATTCTTTGGTTCAAACAAAGTCGAGTTGAGAAATCAAAGTCGTTTCGATTCATATGGAAAATTTATCTTTTCTGAATCACTTTCGAAACATTGGTCGGTCTTTTATCTGTGAACTTCATTATTCTGTTACTAAGCACCGAGATTCTAATATTTGTTCAATTTTTTTTCTCTTGTTGTTTCTCCATTCCACTGTTAGGGAGTGTAAATTGTCTCATAGTCAACCTTTTTTATGCTTTTTTATTGTATTTCAATAATGTGAAAAGAATTTAGATAAGAAGAAAGCAGTGTAGAGTAAAGGACGTCTCAAACGATGTTATATACACAACTTCTCGTAGTAAAAGGAAACCATGCACTATATAAACGGAAGAAAGCGAACATTCATAAAGAAAAGAAAGGATGAGAAGATAACTGTTGCAAGTGGTCAGAGAATAACTCACTTCAACACCTCCTTTTGCCCCGAATGAGCTGCTGTACATGGAAAATGAAATGAGCTAAATTCATAATGTATACAAAAATGAAAAAATTCAGAGAATATATCAGGCAGACATTCCTAAGTGATCTTCTAGTTGGAACTGGCAGGTCTTAAGGTAGAATGGGTGAACCCCAATCCCTTGTATCTCAGACAGAATCGAACTGATCATCGCTACATCTTGAAAGTCACTGACAGCAAAGCAATTCTTACACCAATGATACTCACAATTGTTATAAAAAACAACAATCTTGGATGCATTTATCACTTCTACGCATTTGTATTTCGAGATCTCTGCACAGTAAACGTTGATTGAGCCTATACATCGAGAAAATCCTTAGATTTCATAATTTAACTGTATGAGAGTGAAGTAGACAGGATTTGTGTCCCTGTTCTCTCCCTCACTGGAACGTCTGTGTATTTACTCTGTAAATTAGTTATTTTTTGCTTTAATTTCACTTGAAAATGTAAATATAAACTGCAAATAATTCGAATATAAAAATCATCTCAAGATTGCTGCAAAACATAAGTGCCTTATGTAACAGATACTCGCACATATGTCAGTCATGTACAAAGCTGTCAGATGATCCGCATTTTGCGGACAAATTTTGGATTTTTGAGTTTTTTTCCGCAATTTGTCCGCATTTTAAGCATTTTTTGCTTTTGCTGGTTTTCGTTTAAACTCATCGTTACCATACACTGAAATTTATAATTATTTCTTATCAACTGCTTAAACTTACTTATTCAAAATATAGTCTAAAAATAACATGTCAATTAAAATCGAGATTTACATTTCTATTTGTTCTCTTATGTTTTATAACCACAAAGTGCTAGAGAAAACAGTTTTTAGACTCTCGGCTTGTGAAAAGGATGAATTTAGATACGAAAATGCGTTTCCATTTTTTTCCGTATTCTAACAAAATTTCAATTAGGATAAGATAGGTCAAAAAAGCAACAGCACGTGCATAATGTCTCTATAAAAGGATAAAATAAATCCCTATATAATTAGGCTATATACTTTTTAACGTTTATCAACGTGAAAGAATTTATATACCAATATACATTTTTGTCTGTATATAACTTATATAACAGACACATATATGATTGATAACTGTCAATGAGAATGAAGAAAAGAAATCGAAGAACGAGTGAAATATTTCTTGCTTTCTTGGTAGAACCCATTTCTTGCGTCTAGAAACACAAAAATCTTATTGCAGATAGGAAAGGTACTTCTTGCTTTCTTGCCTCAAGATCTTGAATCAAGAAATGCAAGAAGTGTTTTCTTGGATTTCCTGACCCGAGATCTTGAGGCAAGAAAGCAAGAAACATTTCTTGCCGCAAGCAATGTCCCACTTTCATGGTTTTTTCTTGCTTTCTTGCAGTGTAGGGCACACTCTGTAGGATACTTTTAATTCACATCCCATTTTTATACCTATTAGAAATAATACCCGTTTATTTCCCAGAACGCCCTTCTTCCAAGATCAATCTCAACTCTGCAATGTACCAGCTCATTTTTTATTTGAGGTGTCATGCCTCAAACGTACTATATTGCAGACATTCCTGAGCATGGTTACTACCCAGAGCAGAATGAAACAATATCCATTTATCTCCCTCTTCATTTCTCAAATGAAAAGTACCCTGTCAGTTGGAAAATACTTCATTGCATCATTATCTGAAATCACTGTTGCGTATCATTTTTCTTTTATTATACGACGCGACGCACTTCTTTTAAACAAAACTTCTCATAAATACATAGCACACAATATAACAACAACAGAATAAGTAAAATTGTTTCATTCTGATTTAATTCCCATTCATTAAGAATGTTGAGACTACCACCTGCTAATCCTCAAGGCAAAGTTCGTTTAACTCGTTTACATGCCTATCATTGTGGCGATAGTTGCTCTTACGATCGAACAATAAAATATATTGAGAAATATATTGAATTACTGTCTACGAAGGATACCCTAACAACAGCAGAAAGAGTTGCCAATTTACATACAAAAATTGCTTTAATTTATTTTAATGAAAAAAGAAAACTATCATTCATCATTAAAACATTACCTGAAATCATTAGAATTCCATCAATTAAATGTTATAAGGTACAACGGAGAATTCATCAATCATTATCGATCTATTGGTGATTGTTATGCTAATATAAAAGATTATACAAAAGCTGTAGAATACTATAGAAAAGTTTTAGGTATGAAACAAAATGATACCGAAATATTAAATAAAATCGGTTTAACATATTGTAAACAATTCGAATATCAATTAGCTATAAATTATTTCCAAATGGCATTAGAAACGAGCTAACATTTCCCTTCTATAGCTGTTATCTACGGCAATTTAGATGTTTGTCATGCAGAAATAAAATTATTTGATTTAGCAATTGATTGTTACATGAAATCAATTCATTTCCGCGAACAAGAAAAAAATAATGAAAAGCAGATTAGTAGTCTCTATAAGTCTATTGGTGACTGTTATGAGAGAAAAAATATGTTTCTGGAAGCTATTACCAGTTATTTGAAATGTTTAGAATATCAATCCGAAAAAACATCATCGATATTTGATCAAATTGCATGTTCATATTGGAACAACAGTGACTATGATCAGGCTTGTGTATATTTGTTAAAAACACTAAAAATTAAAGAAGAATGAGGATAATAAAGAACAGCAGTCAACTGTCAAGTGACCCATTGGAACTTTTAAATAACTTTAAATTAATACACATTGATTTCTGACTCAAAAAACGATGGAAAATTACTTCACATCCATTTAAGAGGCCAAATTAATTTAAATTCGTTTGTAGAAAATTACTTTGCATCAATTTTGCAGTGAAAATGAACTG